GGACGTCACAGTCGCATTAGACGAGTCAGACGCTTTGAGAGTTTTAGCACAAGTGCAGTTTTCAACACGTCCATATAAAAAAATAATAAAATATAAATAAAAATCTAAACTACATGAATAAAAACAGATAAGACAAGAAACATACAGATCAAATATAGACAGGACATTTTCAGTGAGAGCAGCAGCAGCAGCAGCAGCAGCAGCAGCAGCAGCAGCAGCAGCAGCAGCAGCAGCAGCAGCAGCAGCAGCAGCAGCAGCTACACCACAGTTAAGACACTTACAAAAGAACTTAAGACGATTAAAACTGGTCAAATGTTCCAAGTTAAACAGGTTATGTTTGGTTTAAATGTTGCAGTGTGGCTTTTGTCTGGACTTTTTCTCAAGGACCTTCAGGGTTTGTTTACACGAAGACGACAAAGCGACAAAATATTTGATCGTTAGTGTGTTTTGTTTAGATGGTGACGGCGTTTCTGTCGACAAGACGCGTGTTTACGACACACACGAACCGACACACACGACCCGACACACACGAACCGACACACACGACAACGACACACACGACAACCACGACACACACACGCACACACGAACCGACACACACGAACCCGACACACACGAACACCGACACACAACGAACCGACACACACGAACCCGACACACACGAACCCGACACACACGAACCGACACACACCGAACCCGACACACACAAACCCACACACACGAACCGACACACACGAACCGACACACCACACACACACGAACCTCACACACACCGAACCCGACACACACGAACCCGACACACACGACACCCGAACCCGACACACACGACACCCGACCACACCGAACCCCACACACACGAACCCGACACACACGAACCCGACACAACGACCACACGCACCCGAACACCGACACACACCGACACACCGAACACACACCGACACCGAACACACACCGAACACACACGACGACACACACAAACCGACACACACGAACCCGACACACACGAACCCGACACACACGAACCCGAACCCGACACACGAACCCGACACACACGAAACCGACACGAACCGACACACACGAACCGACACACACGAACCCGACACACACGAACCTCACACACACGAACCCGACACACACGAACCGACACACACGAACCTCACACACACGAACCCGACACACACGAACCCGACACACACGAACCCGACACACACGAACCCAACACCGACACACACCACACACACACACGAACCGACACACCCGACCCGACACACACGAACCGACACAACACGAACCCGACACACACGAACCCGACACACACGAACCCCCACACACGACCACACACACACGAACCGACACACACAAACCCGACACACACGAACCTCACACACACGAACCCGACACACACGAACCCCGACACCACACAAACCCGACACACACGAACCTCACACACGAACCGACACACACACGAACCCGACACACACGAACGAACCCGACACACCGAACCCGACACACACGAACTCACACACACACACGAACCCGACCACACACGAAACCGACACACACGAACCCGACACACACGACCACACACAACACACACGACACACACGACGAACCCACACACACGAACACCGAACACACACCCGAACCCGACACACACGACGACACACCGACACACACGAACCCGACACACACGAACCCGACACACACGAACCCGACACACACGAACCCACACACACGAACCCGACACACACGAACCGACACACACAAACCCGACACACACGAACCTCACACACACGAACCCGACACACACGACCCCGACACACACAAACCGACACACACGAACCGACACACACGAACCGACACACACCGACACACACGACACACACACGACACACACACACACACACCCGACACACACGAAACCGACACACACGAACCCGACACACGAACCTCACCACACACGAAACCCGACACACACGACCCGACACACACACCGAACCCGACACACACGAACCCGACACACCGACACACCACGACACACGACACACGAACCCGACACACGAACCACGACACACGAACCGACACACACGACACACACGAACCACACACCCGACACCCGACACACACGACCCGACACACACGAACCGACACACACGACACACCGACACACACGACACACCCGACACACACGAACCGACACACACGACACCGACACACACAACACGACACACACGACACACACACCGACACACACGAACCCGACACACACGAACCCGACACACACGACACACCGACACACACGACACCCGACCACACGAACCCGACACACGAACCCCGACACACACGAACCCGACACACACGACCCGACACACACGACCCGAACACACACGAACCGACACACACGAACCTCACACACACCACACAACCCGACACACACGAACCCGACACACACGAACACGACACACACACAACCGACACACACACGAACCCGACACACCGAACCCGACACACCCGACACACACACGAACACACACACCCGACACACACACGAACCCGACACACACGAACCCGACACACGAACGACACACGACACGACACACACGAACCGACACACCGACACACACGAACCCGACACACGAACGACACACACGAACCGACACACACGAACCCGACACACGAACCCGACACACAACCCGACACACACGAACCCCACACACCGAACCCCACACACACACGAACCCGACACCACACACACGAACACCGACACACACGAACCCGACACCCGACACACACGAACCCGACACACACGAACCCGACACACACACGACACACACGAACCGGACACACACGAACCGACACACACGACACACGAACCGACACGACACGAACCGACACACACGAACCTCACACACACGAACCCGACACACACGAACCGACACACACGAACCTCACGCACACGAACCCGACACACACGAACCCGACACACACGAACCTCACGCACACGAACCCGACACACACGAACCGACACACACGAACCTCACGCACACGAACCCGACACACACGAACCTCACGCACACGAACCCGACACACACGAACCTCACGCACACAGTCCACTTCCACGCATGTTTGTGTCACCGTCTCGTCTAAACGCAGAATAAAAAGTGAGGACGCGTCATGAACGAGGAGTCTGTTTGTAATGAGCAGAGGTTCAGTGCAGCTGAGGACGACTGGGACATGAGGTGATACGAGAAGTTCGATGACAGAAGATCATTGTGCTCATGAAGAGTTTTGAAGTCTGGAGCGTTAGATCTTTACGTATAAACGAAGCAATGGAGAGTAGTTTTAATCTTCTTCGTCAGTATTTAGTGAGAACGTCGTCTGAGTTCAGTGAAGAGGCTCGACATCTGGAGTCAGACTTTGTCTTATGAACAGGATTTTTCTGACGAACAAAATAATGAAAAAATGTCAGGATCCAGTGTCTCGGGTGAAGGGCCACAGCAGCGAGAACAGAGACGAGCCCCAAGAGCCAAATGTGAGTCACAGGAGCCAGAGTCAGAAGGAGCCAGAAGAACCTCTGGAGAACTTCCTGTTTGACACACGACGGTGAGAGTCAGAGATGAACTCTCATGTGCACGATCTGTGTGTTTTGGACAGGTGGACAGGACAGGACAGGTGGAGGACAGAGGACAGGACAGGTGAGAGGACAGGTGACAGGTGGAGGACAGGTGAGAGGACAGGTGAGGACGAGGACAGGTGAGAGGACAGGTGGAGGACAGGTGAGAGAGGACAGGTGAGAGGACAGGTGAGAGGACAAGGAGGACAGGTGAGAGGACAGGTGGACAGGTGGAGGACAGGTGGAGGACAGGTGAGAGGACAGGTGGACAGGACAGAGGACAGGTGAGAGGACAGGTGGAGGACAGGTGGAGGACAGGTGAGAGGACAGGTGGAGGACAGGTGAGAGGACAGGTGAGAGGAGACAGGTGGGAGGACAGGTGGAGAGGACAGGTGGAGGACAGGTGTGAGAGGACAGGTGGAGGACAGGTGAGGACAGGTGAGAGGAGGTGGAGGACAGGTGAAGGTGGTGGAGGACAGGTGGAGGACAGGTGAGAGGACAGGTGAGAGGACAGGACAGGTGAGGACAGGTGAGAGACAGGTGAGAGGACAGGTGAGAGGACAGGTGAGAGGACAGGTTGGAGGACAGGTGAGAGGACAGGTGAAGGTGAGGACAGGTGAGAGGAACAGGTGACGAGGAACAGGTGAGGACAGGTGGATGGAGGTGGAGGACAGGTGAGAGGACAGGTGAGAGGACAGGTGGAGGACAGGAGAGACAGGTGGAGGACAGGTGAGGAGGGTGGAGGAAGGTGAGAGGACAGGTGACGAGGGACAGGTGGAGGACAGGTGAGAGGACAGGTGGAGGACAGGTGTGGAGGACAGGTGGACAGGTGAGAGGACAGGTGAGAGGACAGGTGGAGGACAGGTGAGAGGACAGGTAGAGGACAGGTGGAGGACAGGACAGGTGACAGGTGAGGACAGGTTGGGGGACAGGTGAGAGGACAGGTGAGAGGACAGGTGGGGGGACAGGTGGAGGACAGGTGGAGAGGAGGTGGAGGGCAGGTGAAAGAGGACAGGTGGAGGACAGGTGAGAGGACAGGTGGAGGACAGGTGGAGGACAGGTGAGAGGACAGGTGGAGGACAGGTGAGAGGACAGGTGAGAGGACAGGTGGAGGACAGGTGGAGGACAGGTGAGAGGACAGGTGGAGGACAGAGGACAGGTGAGAGGACAGGTGGAGGACAGGTGGAGGAGAGGACAGGTGGAGGACAGGTGAGAGGACAGGTGAGAGGACAGGTGAGAGGAACAGGTGAGAGGACAGGTGAGAGGTGGAGGACAGGTGAGAGGACAGAGGACAGGTGGAGGACAGGTGAGACAGGTGACAGGTGGAGACAGGTGACAGGTGAGGGACAGACAGAGGACACAGGTGAGTAGACAGGTGACAGGTGGAGGGACAGGTGGAGGAAGGTGGAGGACAGTGTGGACAGGTGGACAGGTGAGACAGGTGGAGGACACAGGTGGAGGACAGGAGGACAGGGACAGGTGAGAGGACAGGTGGAGGACAGGTGACAGAGGAGAGACAGGTGAGAGGACAGGTGGAGGACACAGGTGGAGGACAGGTGAGAGGACAGGTGAGGACAGGTGAGGACAGGACAGGTGAGAGGACAGGTGAGAGGACAGGTGAGAGGACAGGTGAGAGGACAGTGATGAGGACAGGTGGAGGACAGGTGACAGGTGGAGGACAGGTGAGAGGACAGGTGGAGGACAGGTGGAGGACAGAGGAGAGGACAGGTGAGAGAGGACAGGTGACAGAGGACAGGTGGAGGACAGGTGGAGGACAGGTGAGGTGAGGACAGGTGAGAGGACAGGTGGAGGACAGGTGGAGGACAGGTGAGAGGACAGGTGGAGGACAGGTGAGAGGACAGGACAGGTGGAGGACAGGTGAGAGGACAGGTGAGAGACAGGTGGAGGACAGGTGGGACAGGTGACAGGTGAGAGGACAGGTGGAGACAGGTGAGAACAGGTGTGGAGGACAGGTGAGGACAGGTGGACAGGTGAGAGGACAGTGGAGGACAGGTGAGAGACAGGTGGAGGACAGGTGAGAGGACAGGTGAGAGGACAGGTGGAGGACAGGTTGAGGACAGGTGAGAGACAGGTGGAGGAGGACAGGTGGGACAGGACAGGTGGAGGACAGGTGGGAGACAGTGAGAGGACAGGTGGACAGGGACAGGTGAGAGGACAGGTGGAGGACAGGTGGAGGACAGGTGAGAGGGAGAGGACAGGAGAGGACAGGTGGAGGACAGGTGAGGAGGACAGGTTGGAGGACAGGTGGAGGACAGGTGAGGACAGGTGGAGGACAGGTGGAGGACAGGTGGAGGACAGGTGAGAGGACAGAGGACAGGTGAGGAGGAGGACAGGTGGAGGTGGAGGACAGGTGAGGACAGGACAGGTGAGACAGGTGAGAGGACAGGTGAGAGGACAGGTGAGAGGACAGGTGAGAGGACAGGTGGACAGGTGAGAGGACAGGTGGACAGAGGACAGGGAAGGACAGAGGACAGGTGAGGGAGGACAGGTGGACAGGTGGAGGACAGGTGGACAGGACAGGTGACGGAGGACAGGTGGAGACAGGTGAGGACAGGTGGACAGGGTGGAGGACAGGTGGGAGGACAGGTGAGAGGACAGGTTGAGAGGACAGGTGGAGGACAGGTGGACAGGTGGACAGGGTGGAGAGGACAGGTGGAGGACAGGTGGAGGACAGGTGGAAGGACAGGTGGAGGACAGGTGTGAGGACAGGTGGACAGGTGGACAGGTGGAGGACAGGTGAGGACAGGTGAGGACAGGTGACAGAGGACAGGTGAGGACAGGTGGACAGGTGAAGAGGACAGGTGGAGGACAGGGGTGAGGACAGGTGGACAGTGAGGACAGGTGGAGGACAGGTGAGAGGACAGGTGTGGACAGGTGAGGACGTGGAGGACAGGTGACAGGTGGAGGACAGGTGGAGGACAGGTGACGAAGGTCGACAGGGTGAGAGGACAGGTGGAGGACAGGTGACAGGTGAGGACAGGTGAAGGACAGGTGGAGGACAGGTGGAGGACAGGTGGAGGTGTGGACAGGTGGAGGACAGGTGAGAGGACAGTGGAGAGAGGACAGGTGGAGGACAGGTGGAGGACAGGTGGACAGGTGAGAGGACAGGTGAGACAGGTGAGGACAGTGTTACCTTGGTGGAAGGCGGTGACGTGTGGATGGACACAGCTGATTGGCCGAAGGTCCAGGGCGGGGTTTTCTGCCTGTTCCAGGTAAAGACTCACCTGAAGAGACCAGAGTTAGACCAGGACTGAACCAGGACTAAACCAGGACTAAACCGTGGGAGACTTGCCTGCTCTCTGATTGGCTGGCTGAGACTGAACACTCCGAGCTCTCTGATTGGTCGCTGGGTCGCAGTGAAAGAGATTGACATGAGCAGGAGCGAATCAAATCCCATCTTCTGAGTGAAGGCCGAGAGCTCCGCCTCCACGTCAGCGCGACACAGGAAGTCCTGGAACCACAACAGGAAGTGATCAAAGTTCTGCTCAGAAGCTGTTTACCAAAGTTCTTACGGAGAACGAGGTGGAGTCAAACGTTTAAGAGAAACATGAAGATCGTCCACAGATTTACGACGGAATAAAAACACGACACAATGAGAGAAGAAAAGAACAAACGTCAAACCATCAACACCAGAGACAAACATCTGTGGACAAACGTCTGCTGGAAGACGAGGAGGAGGAGGACGAGGACGAGGAGACGAGGACGAGGAGGAGGACGAGGAGGAGGAGGACGAGGAGGAGGACGAGGAGGAGGAGGAGGAGACGAGGAGGAGGAGGAGGACGAGGAGAGGAGGAGGAGGACGAGGACGAGGAGGAGGACGAGGACGAGGACGAGGAGGAGGACGAGGAGGACGAGGAGGAGGACGAGGACGAGGACGAGGAGGAGGAGGACGAGGAGGAGGAGGAGGAGGAGGAGGACGAGGAGGACGAGGAGGAGGAGGAGGAGGAGGAGGAGGACGAGGAGGACGAGGACGAGGAGGAGGACGAGGGAGGAGGAGAGAGGAGGAGAGACGAGAGGAGGAGGAGGAGGAGGAGAGGAGGAGGAGGGTGTAGTACCTGTAGTGGGAGGTAGAGGACGCTGATGCCAAGGTTCAGGTCGGGTCCAGACACAGACTTCAGATCCTTCAACAACATCTGCTCCGAGTTCAGACCTGAAACAGACCAGGACTAAACCATTACCAGACCAGGACCAGACCAGGGCTAAACCAGGACTAAACCAGGACTAAACCAGGACTAAACCCGGACTAATCCCGGACTAATCCCGGACTAATCTAGGACCAGAGCAGGTCTTACCGCTGACGTTGAACTTGGCCTGCTGCAGCTCGGTGAACAGCTCAGATCTTTGGGGCAGAGTCTGGACTTTGGTCTGGAGCTGAAGAACCACCTCTGAGTCTTTAGGAGTCACTTTCCCCGCCTCAGGAGCCAAGTCCACACAGTCCACCAGGATGGTCCCTGCAAGAGCCCGAGAAGAACCAGGACTGAACCGGGACTGAACCAGGTCAGAAACCAAGGGGTGGGGCTGAGGGGGCGGGGCTGTGAGGGGGCGGGGCTGGTGTTACCGTAGAGCAGAGTGGCGATCTGAGCGTCCAGCAGCTGTGGCGCCCTCTGCAGGACTCTCTCTGCCACCAGCGTCGCACATGACCCCACGGGCTCCACGGCAACGGAACAGGAAGTGACGGGCTCCACGGCAACGGGACAGGAAGTGACTCGCTCCAGTTTGTGGTGATCGATGACTTCGAGCACCGCCCCCTCCAGGTCGCTGTCAGAACTGCACAGAGACAAATCCACAACATCACGACATGTCAACGTTTACCGAGCGTTTCTAGAACGATTGTGTCCCCGCCGCCGCCGCCGCCGCCGCCGCCGCCCGCCGCCTTTTGCCGAGCGCGACGCCTCATTTGGCATCTGAAGTCTCATTTGGACTAAACCTGAACATAAACCCGACTGTGAAGATAAATTTACACAAATCAAGAAGCAGTTTGATGAAAAAACACTAAACCAGGACTAAACTAGGACTAAACCAGGTCTAAACAAACTAAACCAGGACTAAACAGGACTAAAGTCTAAACCAGGACTAAACCAGGACCAGGACTAAAGGCAGGACTAAAGCAGGACTAAACCAGGACTAAAGCAGGACTAAACCAGGACTAAACCAGGTCTAAACCAGGTCTAAAGCAGGACTCACTCTGGCAGCACGTTGTGGTCCACCAGCGTCAGCCTCAGACCTCGCTCTCCCTGAAGCCTCCTCAGATCCACCTGGTCTCTGAACAGGAGCAGGTCTGGACTTAGTCCGGACTTAGAGAGCAGAGCCACAGAGTCCGACCTGAGAACCAAATCCTGAGCCGGGATGTTCATGAGCGGGACCACGAGCATCGCCCCCGCACCAGTCTGCACACAAGAAGGATCTCAACCGGTCTAAAAGGGTCTGCACAGGTTTAAGCAGGAACTCAACTGCAGCAGGACCTGAAAAGGTCAGGGCGAGGATCATAACCGGTCTAGGAGGGGTCCATACCTTGTGGAGGAAGTAGGCGTAGACCAGAGCACAGACCATCGAGTCCATGTCACAAGCTTCATTTCCCAGAACCACGTGAACCGGACCAGAACCAGAACCAGACTGAAAGAGAAGAACAACTAGGACTGAACCAGAACTGAACCAAGACTAAATCAGGACTGAACCAGAACTGAACCAGGATTAAAGAAGGACTCAAGAAGGACTAAACAAGGACTGAACCAGGACTAAAGAAGGACTAAACGAGGAGTGCGTTTTTAGGGTGACCAGAATTTCAAAATCTAAATCGGGGACTCTCTCGGTTTTTTGGAGGTTGGTGAAAATAAAATAATGAATCGAGTTTAAAATGAAGTAAAACTGTTTTGTCCTCGGCTCGTTCACGACAAACACGAGTCAGTGTCGTCACATTTGAGTTTTGTCGTTTTTCTGCAGATTTTCTGTATTTGACCAAAACAAATGTCACTTTATGTTTGTCTTTACTGAAGCGCGATCAGGACCAAAACACACACTGGGACAAATAATACTCCCTACAACTGTACACAACTCACACTTATGGGACAGATAATACTCCCTACAACTGTACAGCTCACACTTATGGACAGTACTCCCTACAATGTACAGCTCACACTTATGGGACAGATAATACTCCCTACAACTGTACAGCTCACACTTATGGGACAGATAATACTTACAACCGTACAGCTCACACTTATGGGACAGATAATACTTACAACCTGCTCACACTTATGGGACAGATAATACTCTGTACAGCTACTTAACTACAGCTCACACTTATGGACAGAATACTCCCTACAACTGTGCTCACACTTTATGGGACAGATAATACTCCCTACAACTGCTCACACAGGACTACAACACTCACACTTATGGGACAGATAACAACTACTACCTACAACTACGTACAACTCACACTTATGGGACAGATAATACTACAGCTCACACTTATGGGACAGATAATACTCCCTACAACGTACACTCACACTTATGGGACAGATAATTACCTCAACTACAGATAATACTACTACAGACAGACACTGACGGACAGATAATACTCCCCACACTTATGACAGACTAATACTAACAAACTGTACAGCTCACACTTATGGACAGATATACTCCCACTTATGGACAGATAATACTCCCTACAACTACATCACTTATGGGACAGATAATACTCCTACAACTGTACAGCTCACACTTATGGGACAGATAATACTCCCTACAACCGTACAGCTCACACTTATGGGACAGATAATACTCCCTACAACTGTACAGCTCACACTTATGGGACAGATAATACTCCCTACAACTGTACAGCTCACACTTATGGGACAGATAATACTCCCTACAACTGTACAGCTCACACTTATGGGACAGATAATACTCCCTACAACTGTACAGCTCACACTTATGTGACAGATAATACTCCCTACAACTGTACAACTCACACTTATGGGACAGATATACTCCCCTACAACTGTACAGCTCACACTTATGGACAGATAATACTCCCTACAACTGTACAACTCACACTTATGGGACAGATAATACTCCCTACAACTGTACAGCTCACACTTATGGGACAGATAATACTCCCTACAACTGTACAGCTCACACTACAGATAATACTCCTACAACACAGCTCACACTTATGGGACAGATAATACTCCCTACAACTGTACAACTCACACTTATGGGACAGATAACCCTGTAACTTCTTGTATAAAGCTTTTTTATTTATTTATTTATTTTTTACTTGTACATTCACATTTATATAATTATGTTTTATTTCACTTGTTTTTTTGCTTCTTATTTAGAATTTATTATCATCAATTATATTTGTAAATACGGATCAAGTCTAAGTCTAAATCTAAGTGTGAGTCTGAGTTACCAGCGCGGCTCCGCGGCTCCTCAGAAACTCCTCCATCTCATTTATTATCCTTTAGCTTTAGCCTTTAGCTTTAGCCTTTAGCTGCTGCTCCGGTGTCCCGCTCTGCTCCGGACAGCCGCCCACAGCGCTCCTCTTCTGGGTCGTGCAGCGGCTCACGGTGCCTCCTCTGCCCGCGCTCCGGTGCTCTTGTGTCGGACTGAGATGAGCGCCTGTCCCGGTCCTCCTCCTCCTCCGCGGCGGAGCCTGTTCTCTGCTGCCGGGGCCGGAGCTCTGGAGCCGGGCTGAGCTGACGGGAGCTCCCCACGTGAGCTCCGCACATGACCGGGGCCGGGGCAAAGGTCAGGCCGCCTCTGGGGCTCCGTGTGCGGCTAAAGCTCTGCACAGCGCCGCCCCCAGTCAGAGCCGAAGCACCGCACCTCCGAGGGCCCACAGAACCAGAACCAAGACCAGAACCAGGACCAGGACCAGAACCAAGACCAGAACCAGGACCAAGACCAGAACCAGACCAGAACCAGAACCAAGACCAGAGACCAGAACCAGAACCAGGACCAGAACAGAACCAGAACCAGGACCAGAGACCAGAACCAGAACCAGGACCAGAACCAGAACCAAGAACCAGACCAGAACCAGACCACCAGACCAGAACCAGACCAGAACCAGAACCAGACCAGAACCAGACCAGAACCAGGACCAGAACCAGACCAGACCAGAACCAGGACCAGAACCAGGACCAGAAACCAGGACCAGAACCAGAACCAGGACCAGAACCAGGACCAGAACAAGTCTGAGAACCAAGTCAAAGTGTTGAGCTCCACAAAAGACCAGTCTGAACCAGGTAGGTGACAGTGTGGGGCAGGTGAGGGGCAGGTGAGTGGGGCAGTGTGAGGGGCAGGTGTGGGGCAGGTGTGGGGCAGGTGAGGGCAGGTGGGCAGGTGAGGGGCAGGTGAGGGCAGGTGAGGGCAGGTGGGGCAGGTGAGGGCAGGTGAGGGGCAGGTGGCAGGTGCAGGTGAGGGCAGGTGAGGGCAGGTGAGGGGCAGGTGAGGGCAGGTGAGGGGCAGGTGTGGGGCAGGTGAGGGCAGGTGAGGGGCAGGTGGGGCAGGTGGGGCAGGTGAGGGGCAGGTGAGGGGCAGGCAGGTGAGGGCAGGTGAGGGGCAGGTGAGGGCAGGTGAGGGGCAGGTGTGAGGGCAGGTGAGGGCAGGTAGGGCAGGGCAGGTGAGGGCAGGCAGGTGAGGGCAGGTGAGGGCAGGTGAGGGGCAGGTGAGGGGCAGGTGGGCAGGTGAGGGGCAGGTGAGGGGCAGGTGGGGCAGGTGAGGGCAGGTGAGGGGACAGGTGAGGGAGGGCAGGTGAGGGGCAGGTGAGGGCAGGTGAGGGGCAGGTGAGGGGCAGGTGAGGGCAGGTGAGGGCAGGTGAGGGGCAGGTTGAGGGCAGGTGTGGGGCAGGTGAGGGGCAGGTGAGGGGCAGGTGAGGGCAGTGGGAGGGGGCAGGTGAGGGCAGGGGCAGGTGGGGCAGGTGAGGGGGGGCAGGTGAGGCAGGAGGCAGGTGAGGGGCAGGTGAGGGCAGGTGAGGGGCAGGTGGGGCAGGTGAGGGCAGGTGAGGGGGCAGGTGAGGGAGGGGGTGAGGGCAGTGTGGGGCAGGTGGCAGGTGAGGGGCAGGTGCAGGTGGGGCAGGTGAGGGGCAGGTGAGGGGCAGGTGAGGGCAGGTGTGGGCAGGTGAGGGGCAGGTGTGGGCAGTGGGCAGGTGAGGGGCAGAGGGCAGGTGAGGGCAGGTGAGGTGGGCAGGTGGGGCAGGTGGGCAGGTGAGGGGCAGGGTGAGGACAGGTGAGGGCAGGTGAGGGCAGGTGAGGACAGGTGAGGGGCAGGTGTGGGGCAGGTGTGGGGCAGGTGAGGACAGGTGAGTTCAGTGTAAAACAACATGTCAGATGTTCAAGGATTGTTTTATTTGTAAATACATTAGTTTGATAAATGTTGACCATTCAACATGTTCGTGTGCGGGAATGGCCCGGATGCCCTCCCGCGGTCTCTGTACCGGCTCTTCTGCTCTGGAGTTTGGTGGGTGAACAAACGTCCAAAAAGGTTTTCAGTACCGTTAATTATCGTTAATTAAACTGTGACTCAGAAGGAGCGAGACACAAACAGTCGGTCTGAAACACGCCGAAGCACAAATGCACATTTAACAACGACTTGGACAAGAAATTCTCTGTTTTCCGTCCCGGTCGAGACGAGTGTGAGTCCGTGTGCACAGGTTGAGGTGAGAGGACAGTGTCCCTCGTTTATCGTGGGCTGCGACAGGTGAAATCCACGAAGTATCAACTTTATATTTTACAATTATTCTATCTGTGTTAAGGCTGTAAAACCTCAGCACAAACTTTATACACTTTTCTCAGACAGGATCGACAGGTGCAACACTTTTTACTCCCTTCTTAAAAGGATGTAAAAAGGTGTCCGGGTTTTCACAAACGGAAATATGGTCACTCAAAATCTGCTCGTTCACATGAGGCCGTTTACAACAACGTCCCGAAGTCCTGAAGTCCTGAAGTCCTGAAGTTCTAAACTCTGTCTTCTGACTCTGTCCTGAAGCTGCCGTGTCCATTTATTAGGGTTATTCACATTCTCAGCGGACGCACGCGCAGCGGACGCACGCGCAGATCATATCTGTGCACAAAGATGTAACATCAGAAACATTTATGTCAATAAACATGATCCAAAAACACGAGACTTTCACCTGTGAAGAACCAAACACAGACACGAGACACGAGCACGCGGCCAGCGGGACCACGGGGGACACCTGTGTCTCAGGTGAGTCCGTGGGGACACCTGTGTCTCAGGTGAGTCCGTGGGGACACCTGTGTCTCAGGTGAGTCCGTGGGGACACCTGTGTCTCAGGTGAGTCCGTGGGGACACCTGTGTCTCAGGTGAGTCCGTGGGGACACCTGTGTCTCAGGTGAGTCTGTGGGACCAGGTAAAACTGTAAAACATTGACGTGTGCACGCGTGCACGAGTTTACATCGGTGCGCGTGCACGAGAGGGGCGCGCGAGTCGTGAGTTGGAGACGCGGAGTTCACTGTGCACTGCATTTCCCAGAACCCCCCACGGGCCCCGCGGCTGTGGGCGGGGCTTTACCTGCCCACACCTGCAGGGTCTCCAGGAAGCGCGAGCTGCAGCGTCTGGGACGAACCCGGGACTAAACCAGGACTAAACCAGGACTAAACCAGGACTAAACCAGGACTAAACCAGGACTAAACCAGGACTAAACCAGGACTGAACCAGGACTAAACCAGGACTAAACCAGGACTAAACCAGGACTAAACTAGGACTAAACTAGGACTAAACCAGGACTAAACCAGGACTACACTGGGACAAGACCGGGACTATCCCGGGACTATACCAGGACTCCAGCGGGACAGACCCAGACCTGGACTTTCCTCTGGTCCCGATCCGCGCTCTGGCAGCACACACGCGCACGGGCACGCGCATGGACGCGCTCTGAGTTTGAAGCTCAAGAAACAGGAAGTGCTCCAAGATGGTGAGTTATGTCACTGAGCAGATTTAGTCCTGGTTTAATCCTGGTTTAGTTCTGGGTTAGACCTGATTTAGTCCTGATTTAGACCTGGTTTAGTCCAGGTTTAATCCTGGTTTAGTCCTGGTTTAATCCTGGTTTAGTCCTGGTTTAGTCCTGGTTTAATCCTGGTTTAATCCTGGTTTAGTCCAGGTTTAGTCCAGGTTTAATCCTGGTTTAGTCCTGGTTTAGTCCAGGTTTGGTCCTGGTTTAGTCCTGGTTTAATCCTGGTTTAATCCTGGTTTAGTCCTGGTTTAGTCCTGGTCTTGTTTGGGGCAGAGTTGCAGGTTGTGATTCCTGGAGGATTCTCTTCATTCCAGAGTCAAGAACAAACAAGAACAAACAGGTCCAGACTCCAGACTCCAGACTCCAGAGAGGGGGGGGGGGGGGGGGGACTAGAGCCCGACCGATATATCGGTTGGCTGATATTATCGGCCGATATGGGCACCTGGAGACATATTGACCATCGGCCTAAATCTTACAAATATCCCCCCTGGGCAGGTTCTACGTCCTTTATTTTATTCATTTTATTTATTTAACCAGGAAAAAGTCTCTTTGAGATAAAAAAAAAAATCTCTTTTTCGAGAGGAAAAACTACAGTTTCAAAACAAACAAACAAACAAATAAAACAAACAAATAAAACAAACAAACAAAACAAACAAATAAAACAAATAAATAAAACAAACAAAACAAACAAACAAAACAAACAAACAAAACAAACAAATAAAACAAACAAATAAAACAAACAAATAAAACAAACAAACAAATAAAACAAACAAATAAAACAAACAAAACAAACACATTCAGTCTTATAATGTACGAGTCTTTACATTCTGTTGATTTAATCCAGTTACAGACAAATGTCCTGCTCCTGTCAGGACATCATCTCATCAGTGTCTTGCTCGTGGGTTGAGGGTTTGATCAGTGTCTTGCTCGTGGGTTGAGGGTTTGATCAGTGTCTTGCTCGTGGGTTGAGGGTTTGATCAGTGTCTTGCTCGTGGGTTGTGGGTTTGATCAGTGTCTTGCTCTGAGGGTTTGATCAGTGTCTTGCTCGTGTGGGTTTGATCAGTGTCTTGCTCTTGTGGGTTGAGGGTTTGATCAGTGTCTTGCTCGTGGGTTGTGGGTTTGATCAGTGTCTCTTGCTCTTGGGTTGAGGGTTTGATCAGTGTCTTGCTCGTGGGTTGCAGGGCAGTAAGTATCACTGGCAGACGGCGAACGTGAAGGTGAGCGGCGTGGACGACATGGTTCTACTGTCCAAGATCAACGAAGACGCCATCACCGAAAACCTGCGCAAGAGATACAACGATGACTACATCTTTGTATCCTCCACCTGGACCCGGTTTAGTCCTGGTTTAGTCCTGGTTTAGTCCTGGTCTAGTCTAGTTCTGGTTTAGTTCTGGTTTAGTTCTGGTCTAGTTCTGGTCTAGTCCTGGTTTGTTTAGTTCTGGTCTAGTCTGGTTTAGTCTGGTCTAGTCCTGGTTTAGTCCTGGTTTAGTCCTGGTTTAGTTCTGGTCTAGTCCTGGTCTAGTTCTGGTTTAGTTCTGGTTTAGTTCTGGTCTAGTTCTGGTCTAGTCCTGGTTTAGTCCTGGTCTAGTCCTGGTCTAGTTCTGGTTTAGTTCTGGTCTAGTTCTGGTCTAGTCCTGGTTTAGTCCTAGTCCTGGTCTAGTCCTGGTCTAGTCCTGGTCTAGTCCTGGTTTAGCCCTGGTTTAGTTCTGGTTTAGTTCTGGTCTAGTTCTGGTCTAGTCCTGGTTTAGTCCTGGTCCTGGTCTAGTCCTGGTCTAGTCTGGTTTAGTCTGGTTTAGTTCTGGTCTAGTCCTGGTCTAGTCTGGTTAGTCCTGGTTTAGTCCTGGTTTAGTTCTGGTTTAGTCCTGGTCTAGTCCTGGTCTAGTCCTGGTTTAGTTCTGGTTTAGTCTGGTCTAGTCCTGTCTAGTCCTGGTCTAGTCCTGGTTTAGTCTGGTTTAGTTCTGGTTTAGTCCTGGTCTAGTCCTGGTTTAGTCCTGTTTAGTCTGGTTTAGTTCTGGTTTTAGCCTGGTCTAGTCCTGGTCTAGTCCTGGTTTAGTCCTTGACCCGTTCAGACCTACATCGGTCCGGTTCTGATCTCGGTGAACCCGTTCAAGCAGCTGCCGTATTTCACGGACAGAGAAGTGGAGCTGTACCAGGGAGCGGTGAGTCCAAGACTGGTTATGATCCTGCTCTAGACCTGCTCAGACCCCGTAGACTCTGTAGTCTGGTTATAATCCTGCTCTGGTCCAGGCCCAGTACGAGAACCCTCCTCACATCTTCGCTCTGGCCGACCTCATGTTCAGGAACATGATGATCGACTCCGAGAACCAGTGTGTGATCATCAGGTGAGTCCAGACCCGGTCGGACCAGGACCAGACCCAGACCAGGACCAGGACACAGACCCAGACTCAGTTCAGACCTGATTTATTCCTGGTTTAGACCTGGTTTAGACCTGGTCTGGGTCCTGGTTTAGACCTGGTTTGGTCCTGGTTTAGTCCTGATCCTGGTCTTGTTTTTGCAGTGGGGAAAGTGGCGCGGGGAAAACGGTGGCGGCGAAGTTCATCATGAGTTACATTTCCAAAGTTTCCGGAGGAGGAGCCAAGGTCCAGGTCAGAGCTGCTCGCCTCTTCACGGATCTGACCCGTAACACGCTCACGTTTACTGCAGTGTAACAGCGTCTCCACGGAAACCAGCCGGTCCCAGGAAAGTCCCACAGTGCAGCTTTAAAACTCCACCTCCTGAGCACAGAAACTGAAACCTCTTCAAGTCCAGGTCCCGGTCTAGACCCTGTAGTCCGGTTATGATCTCGGTCTAGACCCTGTAGTCCGGTTATGCTCTCGGTCTAGACCCTGTAGTCCGGTTATGATCTCGGTCTAGACCCTGTAGTCCGGTTATGATCTCGGTCTAGACCCTGTAGTCCGGTAGATCTCGGTCTAGACCTGTAGTCCGGTTATGATCTCGGTCTAGACCCTGTAGTCCGGTTATGATCTCGGTCTAGACCCTGTAGTCCGGTTATGATCTCGGTCTAGACCCTGTAGTCCGGTTATGATCCCGGTCTAGACCCTGTAGTTGGTTCAGATCCTGGTTCAGATCGTCTAAACCCGGTCTAAACCTGGTCTAAACCCGGTCTAAACCCGGTCTAAACCCGGTCTAAACCCAGTCTAAACCTGGTCTTGTGTCCTCAGAGGGTCAAGGACATCATCCTGCAGTCGAATCCTCTGCTCGAGGCTTTTGGAAACGCCAAGACCGTCCGGAACAACAACTCCAGCCGCTTCGTCAGTGCCTCCTCCTCACCTCTCTCCTCCTCATCCTCCTCATCCTCCTCCTCATCCTCCTCATCCTCCTCCTCCTCATCCTCCTCATCCTCCTCATCCTCCTCATCCTCCTCATCCTCCTCATCCTCCTCTTCATCCTCTTCATCCTCCTCATCCTCCTCTTCATCCTCTTCATCACTTTACTTCCCTTAATTTTCTCATCTTCTTGTCTCCTCACTTGTCTCCTTGTTTCCTCACTTGTGTCCTTGTCTCCTCACTTGTCTCCTCGTGTCCTCACTTGTGTCCTTGTCTCCTCACTTGTCTCCTTGTTTCCTCACTTGTCTCCTGTGTCCTCACTTGTCTCCTTGTTTCCTCACTTGTCTCCTGTGTCCTCACTTGTCTCCTTGTTTCCTCACTTGTCTCCTGTGTCCTCACTTGTGTCCTTGTCTCCTCACTTGTCTCCTGTGTCCTCACTTGTCTCCTTGTTTCCTCACTTGTCTCCTGTGTCCTCACTTGTCTCCTTGTTTCCTCACTTGTCTCCTTGTCTCCTGTGTCCTCACTTGTCTCCTTGTCTCCTCCTTGTGTTCCTCACCTTGTTTCCTCACTGTCTCCTGT